ATTTAATATTAAAAAAATTTTAAATGGAAAAAAGTCTCATTTCACGGAGAGAAAAAAATAATTAAAAAAATTAAGTTCAATCATAAATAAAGAAAACCCCAATAAAAAAATTACTATAAATAAAATAAAATAAAAAGGGACTCCACGCATGGAGTGAAAAATCACTTCGTGCACGAAGTGGAATCCATATATTTTATATTTTTTCAAATTTTATTTACAGTAATTTTATTATTATTATTTAATTTAAAACATGAAATATATCTTTAATTTCAAAAAAATATTTTTTTAAAATTAAATATTTATTAATAAAAAATTACTAGAAATAGAGGAGGAAAAAACATATCACCACTCCGTGCAAGAACTGGAATCACTCCATGCACGGAGTGGTTTAAAAGAAGAGTCAAAATGAGAGAATTCTCATTTTGCTCTCGTTTTGAAAGGAGAGACTATCTCTCCGTGGAAGGAGAGATTCTCTCCGTCCACGGGGAGACTTTTTTACTTATGGAGGGATAATTTTGTTCATATTATATTTCGATATAAAATTTTTTTTAATTCTTTTATGGTACAATTTATTTTTTTTTCAATTTTAATTAATTAAATAATATTTATATATTATTTATGTAATTTTTGTAACTTTCTTTTATTTTATTTGTTTAATTTGGTTTAATAAAATAATATTTATACATTATTTACGATACAAAGACATTCGTTAAATTTGAATTAAATACTATTTATATTTTTTAAAAATCATTTTAATTTAATTTAAAAACTTTTTAGTAATTTTTTTCTTTTTTTGTCTGCAATTTCGTTTTTCAATAATCTTTATATTTAATTTCGATTTTATTATATAATATATAGTACTGACTTTAATCAAGTGAAGTAGTGTGTGAAAATTGATAAATCAGTGAAACGACGTGTGAAAATAGTGAGATGGCATGTGAAAAGAATGTTACAGTGTGATTGAATAGAATAATTTACTGTTATCAAACTAGTTTTCATGTGAAAACCTATGTAACAAAAATGAACAGTAAACCTCACATTCTCTATTTTAAGATAATGAGGGATTTACAAGCTCCACTATAATTAAACCCAGCATATCATCCCCAAACTAATGGAAATATTGAAAAGCTCAACCGATGCTGGGTAATGTAATTAAGGTGCACGTCCAGTGGTAGATCTAGGTGGTGGGATTGCCCGAGCTAGTTTCGTCGAGGAGAATTTTTTTTGCTGATAATAGATAAAATTTTTAGATTATATATTTGATAATTTATATTAACAACAAATATCTCTGGCAGTTTAGCTAGTTAACCCTTCCACTATTGAATTGGAGATTCTGTGTTCAAAACTTTTCAAGATCAATTTTTTTTTTATAATTTTTGTATTTCAACAATTTTTACCAAAACAAATGCAATGAATGTGATTTGAACCTGCTACCTTCCTTAAATATGTTGACCACTTTACCACCATGACACTTATTGATTTTTAGCACATAATGTAACAAAAAAATATATGTTCAATTTTACTGGTTTAATATAAGTAGAAACATTTTAACTGGTGCTTTGTCTATTTTCTTAATTTTTTTTCTCTGATCAACTGATTTGAGAGTTTGGTCAATTGATGGTGGATGAGTTTGTAAAAAAATTGACCTTTAGTGTCATAAGAAATTTTTCAACAAAACTTATTTAATTAATAAAATGTTTCTTTTTTTGTTCACAAAAGATCGATTCCGAAAAAGTGAAACTATACAAGCACAAAAAATAATTTTAATTTTGTTATTATAATAATGCTTGTTTAATTAACTTTAATTGTAAACTGAATGGTGACATTTTGTTAATATATATTACATATTTAATTGAAAATTAAATTAGGGCATTTTGTAAATTATGAAACGATTTTTCATCCAAAACGAAAGTTCTTATGTAGTTCTAGTTCTTTTAGCTCTAATCCGTACGATTTTTTGAATGCTATTTAATTAAATAATAATAAACAACCTCACTATCTTGGACATTGGCCGTCAATAGTAACCTTTCAACGCTCGCGATCCACTCTAACTGAATTTGCGCCCTACGCATGTCACATCTATAACCCAAGCATTGGAATAAATGGTAAACCATGCTAAGCACTGTATCGAATCAAACCCATACAATTACGTGTGAAAAAAAAATCCCACTAACCCCGTCAAATTGATTAGCTGGTTTAGTTTGGAATCCAAGTTTAGATTTTGATAGTTAAAAATCGCAAGAAACCAAATCAAATTCTTCATCCAATTTATATATTTTAAAAAAAAAATTTTGCTCGTTTTATCTAAGAAATACTATTTATTAGATCAATTTCAGAAAATTTATTTGCCAATTTTTTTTTTAAATTTAAAGAACTTGCTATTCGCCTTTCCTTGGCTCTTTAGAAAAATAATGATATATTTACTATAATACTTTTATTATATAAAAGATGAAATAAAATACATAAATTTACAGTTTGAATTTGGATTAATTTTTATTATTATTTAAGGTTATATTGAGAAAAGTATATTAATATTGTATCTTTTATGTTTAGAATGTCTCTATTTGAGTGCTATAGTGAAATTTCAAACTAATCTATTTATTTTTCATTTGTTTAAAACATGTTATTTTTATGTCGTTAAAATTCTTGTTTGAAACCAAGTCCATGTTTGATGTGAATTAAAATAAAAATTTTAGTATATTTTGCTAAAAGCTGATGAAATATTCGTTAGAAAAGTTTTGGATTCCATGAAATGTATGGTTAAAAATATTAGTTGACTTTGGTTTAAATTTTAATCCACACCAGGGGTCAAATCAAGTCACTAAAAATGGTTCATTTGAAAATAATAAACCATTTAAAATTTTTTGATTTGAAAATAATTCGAAATTGTCCAAACTAAATTGAGTTATATCCACAACTAGCATTGATCCTTTTCTAGCATTCTAATATAGCAGCAGTTGAAGATCTATTGTAGGAATGACATCGAAGAGGCACATTTGCTCCGTTGGAACTATTTGTAGGGAACAATACATACTTCCAATAAGTAAGAATTACATTTCAAAACTAACAAACTTATCAAATTATTTCAAAATTTAAGTATTAATTCCATTTAATAATATATACAAAATATAATTAATTATAATTAATTATCCCACCCAATTAATTAGCACCCCTACCCACCAAATTAGTAACATATTAATTATTAATATTTTAGGATCCCACCCATGACCCTATCCACGGACGCACCTCACTCCACCCCACCCACTTTGACCCTACCCCACTCTATGGACCCATCCCAATCACCCCACTACACAACCTTCTTTATCGGCTCCAACAATTGCTCCGACAGTCGCTTCGACAACTGTTTCGACAACCGCTTTTGACGATCGCTCCGACAACCACACCACACCCTACCCCCCGAAACCATCACATCCCATAGTAAAAGATCTCCAGAAATTATGGTGGCAATAGTAGTGCATTGTAGATGGCCAGGTTTGTGACTAACTTTGTTATCTGTGACCATACCTGTGTTATATGTGACTATTTGTGATCAAATTTATCTTTAGTGTGACTAATTGTGATCAAAGTTATTTTCAGGGTGACTGTTTGTAATTAGATCCTATTAACTATGATGATATGTGATCAAATTACAATCAATCATAATTAATATAGAATTGGTCACAACAAACACATATTTGGTCACAGAGGATCACCACAAACAAATCTGCATACATCATAGACCAACAACACAATCCACCACCAGTCACCACCTTCAATGTACCACCAGTACCACATTCAACTCAAATTCATGACCAGAAATATTACCTTCACTGACATGTGTTATTAGTGGCTAACTGTGATCAACTTTATATTCAGTGTGACTATTTGTGACAATATCAGTCTAAAATTGTGACTATATATAACTAAGTCACATACAATCACAATTAACATAAATTTGGTCACAAATATTCACAATAAAGACAAATTTGGTCACACATGATTTCCACTGCAATTATCAAATGCGCATCACCAACACCTTCAATGAATCTCATCCACCATCACCATCACGACCATCGGCATCACCGTACAACATGAAGATCCATTGCTTGTACCTATGAGCAGCAGGCGCATCTCCTTTGAAGCCTCCAAACGCCCAACAATATTCAGGCCCATTGCTGTACATTGCCGGCCATCAACCACCTCTTCTTACCAAATTTCGGCAACTACAATTTTACCCTACCAACATTAACTGCAGCAATTACCACCAATTGTAACACCCAAACGCACCAAAAAATTAAGCCAAAGACCAGTAGCTACGGACTGTCTTTTGTGTCACACTACCTTCTCTCGCGATGCCCATGCCAGTACCACCACACCGATCTACCGTACTCATCAAAGGACATCTATATATGGTTTAATATCATCAAACAACAACACACAATCCAAATTTATAAACCTGTTATTCGCACAACTGAACACGCACATTTCAATTTCAATTTTTGGCTTCAACAATAAGCCTCACGATCACAAACCACCTTCTCCGACATCCCCACACCATACCACATCTATTGCCACCATGGGCTTTGCTTGGCTGCGTCAGTGTACGTAACAGTTCATTGTTGCGTTCGGCGATTCTTCATTGTAAGAAAGAAGGGGCAAGTGAGTTGGGGTCCACCGTGCGCGGAGACGTCGAAAAGAAGAAGCGGGTGGGTAGGATCCATTGCATGCAGCGACGCTAGAAAAGAAGGGACGGACGGGTGGGGAGAGAGAGAGAGAGAGAGAAGAAGAAGAAGAAGAAGAAGAAGAAGAAAATGAAATTGATTTGGACAGAATTGGGTTGGGTGTCGGTGGGTGGGTATGTAAATTAGGTTTAATTGAATTTTTATTATTATAATTATTAAAACCTAATTATCACATGATATGTGAAGTTTAAAATAATCCTCATTATTAATGAAAAGTATTATTTAAATGTAGGTTTTTAGTTAATTTTCTCCTATTTGTAGGAGGGCCCAGTTATGAAGGAAGATACAATAGACCCAAAACTCTGGGTACCCATTAACCGAGATAGACCTATTTTCGGCCCACAAATTCCGGTTCGCTTTCCTCGTCCTCCCTCCCATCTTCTTCGATTTGTACTGAAATTATTTTACTACAATTTCGCACAAATCTCACCGCTAAAGCGATCGATTACGAAACTTCAGGTGCGTACAATAAAAATTGATTCAGATTCCAGCAGTACTATAGTATAGATGTGGGATTTCTTTATTAGAAAAATTATCATAATAATCGCATAAAGATTTCTTTAGATTTCTGCAGACAATTGAGTATAATTAGAATCATAGACACATTAATTGTTAATCCTCCATTTAAATAAATTCTAATTGATGATGTGGTCATTTCCATAGTTATTATCTCAGTTTCTCTAGATGTGAATTCCTATCATTATTTTCCATTTAAGGTTTTGAATTGGTTCATTATGCTAGCTGTTTTTATGGAACAGTAAATAATAAGCATTAATTGAGAAGAAGCGTTCATATTGGATTTGTATTAGTTACTACTTGATTACATAGATTGCTTGAACATGTGAAGTAATCTATGTTGCGCACGGCTGTCAATATCTACACTATAGCTTATGTATATGTTTTAATATATACTGTGTTGGGCTTAAAGAAAAATAATTCTACCCGCTGTATATATGCAATTATTGTGACTGTATAATAAATTGTAGTTGTCTTTTCTATGCATGTATGAGTTGAAGGCTAACATGTTCATACCATTAATATATGAATAAAGGTACTAAAAATTTGTATAAAATAACCTTTTGTTGTGTGTATATACTGTCTGTTGCAGTATTTGCTTGTATCAATGTGGTTATTCCCGACATACCTTAAAGTTTTCATTTCGTTTATGGAAAGTTGTGTTAACTTTTCAGAATGGTACACGATGCTTTATTCTTAAGACATGGATGAGAAGTGAATATCAAGTTGTTGGCTTGTTTATGTTGTTTAATAATCTTGTATGCTGAGTCCTGATCTGTTAGGATATTTTGCATCATGGTACTTGAAATGTTTTAGGGAGGTGCTTCATTGATCTCAAATTGAATCAGAAATCATATAGCCATCTAATTTCTGCTAGAAATACGCTGAATCTGCAAACAATTATATGTTGATTGTAACTCATACCAGGTTGTTGTTCGTTTAGGATCACAGAAAGAAGACAACAAAAATAATAATAATAATAATAATAAATAAATAAAATCCTTAGGATAATAAAATGGATGGTGCAGAGTCCTCTTCGAGATACTGGTGTCACGTGTTATGAGATGGTGAATCCAATTCTAGAGATTGGGATGTTGCAATGCCTCACCTGTGATGGTGGCTTCCTTGAAGAAATGGCCACTGCTACCAGTTTAGAAAGTGTTAATTTGTTGGTAGGCTTTTTGGGAGAGTAATTTATGGGTCCTGGCTTAATCTAATTTGCCTCTTCATCCCTTGATGGAGTACAGTCCATATAACTATGGCACTTACCCCCTCAGATGGGGTGGATACTGGTCTAGTTCAAAAGAGTTGTATTTTTGCCCGTGAGAGAAATGAAGGGATCTGATAAGATTTGAGAAGAATTTATTGTTCCATTTCCAGTCATTACTTTTGTCTCCTGAGAGATGAAAATTTTTGATAAATTATATTTTCTAGAAGTCTAATTTTCTTGAGCTGATTAGGACAGAAATTGAAAAGTGAAATTATTGCACATTAGTTAACTAAAACAGTCAAGACTATGTTGGGAGTGTTGTGTATATATGTACAGATGTATGTATGAATATATTTGGATGTATAGATGCAATAGTATTTTATTCAAATTCTTTAAATGGCATTCTTTCTTATTATTATTATTTTTTTCTGTATCATGCAAGCACAGGTTTATTGTTGCAGGTTAGCATGGGGGTATATCTGAGCACTCCCAAAACTGAAAAGATATCCGAGGATGGTGAGAATGACAAGCTTAGGTATGGCTTGTCATCCATGCAAGGATGGCGCTCAACCATGGAAGATGCTGTAAGTACCTTTTGCTTTCTCATTACTCCCTCCTTCCCATTTGTATAGGCTAACTCTTTTCATTTTCTCGTCCCAATTATATAGTCTTGTTTCTTTATTAATAATGTTTTATTTTGTTCGTTTACTAATATATCATTGTTTAATTTGCCTAGTTATAACCGATTTTCCTTAATCTTGAAATTGTACATATATAAATAAGGGTAGCCTAGGAAAGTTTTTAGCAAAAATTGCGTTTCCAATAATATTAAATAAGATTTCTTAATCTATGTGAAAAACAAAACCAGCTTATATAAATGGGACGAAGGGAATATTTAAGATCTCGTCATGGTTTGTGTTTCATTCTAAACTTATTTTTGTTTATAAAAATGATGAATTTTTCTCCAAGCTATTACTCACCAACATCACTTGCCAGTACCATATAAGATTTGTCTGCCTCAATCATAAATGCACATACTTATTCTGTTATTTCTGTATCTGAAAAAGAGCAATATCAGAATATTGAAGTTTTGACCTAAACACTTCTGAATTACAGAATACATTTTTGAACTGATGTGTGAATCTAATATATATAGTCGAGTGTGTATTTTGTATTTTCTCAATCTTCTTTTAATTTTTGACGTGCTTAAATGAGATATTCTACAGCATGCAGCTTATACTGATTTGGACAATTCAACCTCTTATTTTGGTGTTTATGATGGACATGGAGGTAAATACAAACCAAATTACCTTCAAATTAATTACTTTTGACGTTGTCTTCTTTTTTAAAGGGTGAGGTGTTCATTGATCTCCATTTTCATTGAGGGTTCACTTTCATCCATATGGTTTATGTGGATTTTTAACTTTGCTGGCCTCAGTTAAATATTTACTGATTCTTAGTTTATTGAACCACTTCATTGCCTAGAAAATGAAGGCGCACCTATTAATAAACCCCAAGTGAAGATGGAATGTCCCATATGTAACACAACAAGACACATGGTTCACAAATTTGACTTCATTAGTGGGTGAACATGAAATATAACCTCCATTTATGACTAAAAGAAGTGACAAACGAAAACTAAAATTAAAGTTACCCTTTCACTTTGATTTAGGACATGCATGGCTAATTTGTTTAATTTCAATGCCTGAAATAAGATTATTAAATCTGGAGGGAATTAAGATGGGAATGGAATGAATGAAGCATCAAGGTGAGTCAAAAAGAACAGCTTGCTGAAATGATAATTGAAGTGTTCGTAGTGTTAGAGTAATAGTTTAGATCTCTGAAGAATGGAAAGGCTATGTCCATAAAGTGAATCACAAACTTCTTACATAAGCAGACAATGAAACTATAAGCTGTTTGCTTTCAAGTTTGTTGAGGTTAGCAATTTCTGTCTTTCCCATTCAACCTCTTTTCGCCAGATTATTCTTTTTCATGGTGCTGTACATCTTCAGTGACGCTTTGTGCTCAGTAGGTTCATTTCACCTTGCAGGCAAAGAAGTTGCAAAATTTTGTGCCAATTATCTTCATCAACAGGTGCTTAGTCACGAAGCTTACGTAGCAGGAGATTTGGCCACATCTGTTCCGAAAGCTTTTCTGAGGTTGCTCTATCCTTTTGTTTTCATTCATTTATTTTATCTCAGATTTTCTTCACCTATAAATAATATGTTCTTTTTGGCCTGGGTTTGTAAAGCTAGGGACGGTTAACCTCGTGGAATTATAAATGTTTGAAGTGCTTCATTGTGGCCCAACATTCATTTGAATGTCATAATTCTGTACTCTGCTGGGACTTGTGAGCATAGGTAGAGACATATAAATAGAAGACAGTGTCCACTGACTAGTCTGGTGGTTCCAATTAATTCCTATCATTAAAATAGGCTATGGATTCATATTTTTTAAGGATTTTGAAATATTATATCTATCACATTTTCCTTTTTCATTTTAAATTTTATGATGATGTGCACCGGTTTTATGTTCTTTCCTTTTTAACTCATATGCTTTAACATTCTTTCTATTTTCTGCTTGCAGAATGGATGAAATGATGTGCGGAGAAAGAGGGCAAAGAGAGTTGGCTTTATTTGCTGGCAAAATTGACCAACCTAGGGGTATTTTAGAAGGCTCAATACAGTCACCTAAGAGTGGTGAAGTTAATGGCCAAATAGACGACTGGTCTTCTAAGGAGGTATTTGCTCGGTCTTGTATATGTCTTGACTTGGCAAGCATTTAACCAAATAGCATTTTGATCACACTGCGCAAACCTGCAGTGTTATATTGGTTAAAACGAATGCCCACTCCGCACAAAACACGTGCATTTTAATCTATGAGCTGAATGATATTTCTACTGACAAAATCATAAAGGTTAAAAATTTTAACCATCTATAATTCTCCATAAACTCGAGAAATTATATTGAGCGAGTGTTTATGCATTTTCTAAGAGAGATCTATGGGGCCTGTTGAACTAAAATGATTGCATTCACTACATTATTGGAAAATATATCAGTTTGGTCTACCCTCATTTGGATCTAACTAAACACGGTGCGTGATTGTTTAGATGTGTTGTAATTTGCTTTTTGCTGCATTTTTATCTCGCATTAAATCCTGCTAAATATCTTAATGAATGTAGGGAGCTCTCTCTGATTACAATGGACCATCTGCTGGATGCACAGCTTGTGTTGCACTTGTCCGAGACAATCAACTTCTTGTTGCAAATGCTGGAGACTCCCGTTGTGTTCTTTCTCAGAGGGGTCAGGTGAAGTTTTTCTGTTACTTTCCGAGGGGTAATATAACGTTTTGTTCTTTGGAAATGCTATTCGTTATTTCTTCCAAATAAACAGTAATTAAAAGAATGGGTTGAATGATCAAATAATGGGATGTTGTACTAACAGTTCAGGGAAATTGTTGATTGTAATACATGTGGTGTCACGTCTCTGAAGGACATTTATAATTTTGTGTGGCATAAAACCTTTGACACAGGCACACGATCTTTCCAAGGATCACAAACCTGACCTTGAAGCTGAGAAAGAAAGGATACTGAACGCTGGTGGATATGTCCAATATGGACGAGTCAATGGGAGCCTCAACCTGTCTAGGGCAATTGGTGATTTACTCATAAAACCTATTTACATGTAGGGGAGAGAATGTTGCTTTGTTTCCCGTTGCATGGTATAACCATTTTAAATCTTTCAGGAGACATGGAACTGAAGCAAAACAGATCGTTACCCGCTGAAAAGCAAATTGTGACAGCAAACCCTGATATAACCACTGTATGCTTCTTCTTAAACTTAGTTTGCATGTTAATTTCTATTTGACTGTATCCTGCCAACCTCAATGGATGAATTGCAGTTTGAAGATTTTGTGATTAATGATTTGTGAGCATAACTGTTACCAATGGAATCACTTTGATTAAATGGAAGAAGAGTAAAGATGTGGCATGTATTTTTGCTTTCATTTTTTTTTAACCTTTGAGCTAATTTTGGAGTCAAATCAAATTTATTTCTTTATTGTTCTTTTTTCCAAACTAGGTTGAGCTATCCGATGATGATGATTTTCTTATTATCGCTTGTGATGGAATATGGTAAGTCTGTTGCAGGTATTTATATGAATTTTGGCTTTTACTCTGCTGAGCTGTCTGTTTGGTCCTAGTCTGGCTGTGCTGAGACAGACGTTGCTATGCCTTTGTATCAAGGTCTGCAGCCTGCACAGGGCAGCCAATGGCCCCTGTGGTCTTCTTTTTGTTTTTTCCTTTACTAGAAAATGAAAAATACCAAAAAACTACCGGGCCGAAGCCTGGAGTCCTGGCATGGACCGTTGAGTGGCCTAGTCTAGCCTGTTGACGCCCCTGCCCACCCTGGATCAAGCATCCCAGATTCTGTAAAGATATGTTTGAATGGGATCTTCGGTCTCATTCTAGCAAACTTACATTTGAACATAATATTGTTAAAAGTTCTATTCTGAGTTCTGCAGTGGAAGCAAGATTTGCTCCTCCCTATTAACATTTTCCATTTCTTTTAATTTTTTTAGAAGAAAACTTTTACCATTTCTATGCATTACCTAATTAGTATTTTTTATTAGCATGACGATGTGATTTTCCCATTTGAATCAATATATGCTTATTGTTTACTTTTTTTTGTGTGTGTGTGTGTGTGTGTCTGTATTGGTAATTTTTATTTATTTATTTATAAGCAGACAGGAAAACTTCCCTTAAATAAATAAGGAAAAATAGTGAGTCTCAAATAATAAATTAATTATTTAAAGTCATAGCATCCGAAACTTTTGGTAAGAAACTAATGTGAAGAACACTATAAATCATTTTGGATGATGATAAACTATGTCAGAAGGTTAGAAACCTACGTAATCCCTTCCTAATGTAGTATTGGTCTTCATTTAACTATTATCCATACGTATCTATCGCCTTTATAATACTTATCTCCATTTTTGTTTTGCTAGGGATTGCATGTCAAGTCAAGAAGCAGTTGACTTTGTACAAGAACACTTGAATTCAGTAAGTTTCTTATGCATCTTGTTAAATATTCTCGACAGATTTGATCGAGGAATAGAAACTAACTGCCAAAAAAAATTATGCAGGAAAGTAAACTATCTACAGTGTGTGAAAAAACGCTTGATCGCTGTTTGGCACCATCGTCTGGTGGGGAAGGTTGTGATAACATGACCATGATCCTAATACAGTTCAAGAAAAGTATTGACAGAAAAGCGTCGAAGTCATCTGATCAGCAAGCCGAACCAAATCATAATGTACCCGGTCCTTAAGCTAACTTCCAGACTTCTAGTTTTGCATTGTTGAGTTACATGTTTTGTTTGTAGTAATTTCTCATGGTACATCGTTGGTCTGAGAGAAACTCATTTGTAAATGTTGATTTTCATAAGAAATAGTGTTTCTGGAGTTAATGCACGTATCTTTTTGTTGGTGGATACAAACTGAAAATATGATCTTTCTACTTTCAATATTGAACAATATGATTAATGGATCTCAAATGAATTTTATAGTCTGAGGCATCGATGTGTTTTTATAATTGTTGGGAAGTTGGGTAAAACAGGGACATCTATAAGGGCTTTTTGATACGTGCTATTGGTCTCTTCAAAGGATTTGCTTACCCTATTTTGAACGTAATTTCGAAGTGGAGGATTCTGTCTTTTTCTTTAGATTTCTCATTATCGTCATCTTATATAGTAACAACAGGAGAAAATATCATCGGTTGTGGAATTTCCCAACAATTTGTTTCACTTCCAATTCATAATTCCTTTTGTTTCATTTTCATCTGCGAATGACTTTTGTTGATCTAGAAATCTGATGATGATGCGTGGCCAGCGAATTCTAGCTCCTCTTCCATTCACTTGTATGTTATGATTGTTATCAGCATATTTAGACAACCACGTTAGATTGCACGTGATCACAGCTTGTGTGTTGTGTGACATTTGCGAGCACTCTATCGTTTAAGTCAGATAAAACTTTACATGTTTTGAAGTTACTATTGCATTGATTGTGTTCAAGTAACTTAAGACACGAGTGTGAACTTTTATATTAAGAGAGAATGTGATGTTTATTGGATGTTTGACATGTGACATCTTGTCAAGAGATCGCTATTCAAGTTATATCATGATTGCTTGATAAAAGTTGAAAAACAACCACCCTATATCAATAAGGCAATCTGAAAAGTATTAAAAAGTATTTTTCACCTCTTAGGCACTACTAAATGAGTATTCTGATCTTGTAAGAGTTACTTCATAGGAAATATAGCATAGTTAGAGAGGTGGTCAACCACTTCGGATGAGGTGCCTCACCATCTCGTCCAATAGTCCAACCATCTCGTAAAGATGTGGAAACCAAGATGGGGTGGAGTGTGGACTTCGTGTGGCCTCTCGTTTCGTTCAAGTTTAACCGTCACGTGATTTGTCTCGTAGGATTAGGCATAACAATTTTTTTATTAAAAAATAAAAATAAAAATAGAAAAATCTAAAAAAAGTGTAGGAGAATTACAATGTTATTTCGAAAAGAGTAACAAATGGGATGGGCGATATAAATTTTCGCCCGTGATTGAACTTTTTCAGATGTAGAATCTAAATTCAGCATGATATGACCAACTCGTTCTATTTTAAATAGATTAGGGTCCGTGACTGTAGTTTTTCCTAATTCAATTCATAAAACCAACAAAAACATGCGCGACTTTTTCTAACATAGTAATACTAGAAGACTTCAATTACCTAATTAAAAATCAAAATTACTTGTAACAGGGTAAACCCAAATTATAAATTGACGTAGTGATGTGGAAGCGATAATAATAATTGAACGACGTGCTATCAAAATTTCGTTGGTTTTTAAACGAATATCGAAATATTATCTTGTGCTAGTTTCTGTTGATTTTTAATAATATCAGAAATTTCGACATTAAATTCTTTGATTCACACACGGATGCAAAGAATTGGCCTTCTTGAAATTTAAAAATCAAATACGAGAATTAAGAAATTGGAGAAATCTCAACAAATTTAAATTTCAATATGAATTCTACTCAATTAATTGCCATAAGTCTTAGCAGTAAATAAAATTTGGATAGTAACTAAGCTCTAGATAACGATAAAATTAAAGATACTGATTAACTCTAAATGAAATTAAAATCCTAATCTAATTAAAATTATGAATCCTAATATTTTATATTAATTAAAGACTAAACTAATTATTAATTAAAATATGATAAAATTACCCAAATTAACTTAAAATTACCCATATTCAATCTTCATCATAAATCCAACCCACCTCTTAATTGAGAACTACTATATGTACAGAAAAATGCTACAGCTATAATTAATGAAGATAACACTTAACAGTTTTCTATTGAAAACGACAAAACAAAAAATAGGCAGACCAAACAAATGCTATTGTGGCAGCATTTGTATTAATTCTGGCAGCAATTCTTCTGTACAAGGGAAATTGTTGCTCTTAATTATTGACATTGTTCTAATAAAATAAGATATGGAACTCGTTTGACAGTAATTTCACTTTGGTTTTTATAAAAAAAAAAATATCGAAAAAAATTACCTTATATGAGTTTTTTCTAAAAGTTATTTTAATAAGATATAGCACTTTCAAAAGATAATCCAAAAATATTCAAAAATAGCTTCTTAATTTTAAAAACAATTTTTGACTTTCTAAAAACATTTTAAAATAAGCCCTTAATTCGCCTACTAATTTAAGGCGTAAACAAACTTTCAACAGAACATAGCAATACATCCAAAAAATATAACATAATTTTTTGTCATCATTGTATAAATAAAATAGTGTTTTGTAAGAAAATAGATATTTCCATGTTGGAGTATGAAATATTTATGTAACAATACCTCCGTTCGCCCTGACGGCGCTAGATGCTTTTGTTACTCTGTTAAATGAATGTTACCTGCAAAATGTGGTAGGGGCTTCCTCCCCCATTGTATCTCCGGCATGAAAATTAGTATGGAATTTTAGAAAAGAAAAGATAAATTATTTCAGAGTATTATTCAAATTTAAATGAATGTGTAGGACGAGGTGGAATTTTTTGGGAGGGGGAGATGTGATGAGAATGGGATTAAAATTTCTTCTTCGAGCTTTGAATGGTATATGAATATCTTAATAATTTGACTCTAAGTTAACGTTACGTATTGTTACGCCTCTATTTGAATCACCTCGGAATGTCCACCACCACACACTCCGATCTGCTAGACACCCACTCGAAGTGGTTCCGAAGTGATTTCCCCAATGTTAATGACATGCTATCACACTGCGAGACATAGGCGATCCTGTTGAACTGACCGAAGCGCCCTCACCCCTGAGGGCGAGGCGAAGTGCACTCCGGGGCCCTCTGTCAGAAGATCCGCCGCCAATTTCAGAAGGACATCTTTGCCAGGATCCTTTCTGCCCCTAAGGTTTAAATTGATTTGATATCTCCATGAGGCTAGTTGATGTGACTTATCAATTTTATATCAACTCAACTCGAGAGAAACAATTACCCGCCCACTTTACAGACGCGGCTGATTGACGCCTATCAGCAGACATCTCATACCGTCAGATGTATATACGTGCCCCCACATCCAACGGTTCATCCCACCTATAAATACCCAAGAATTGGCAAGAGGCAAAGGTAATGAAACTCTTACTACATAGCACTCCATAGCAAGCATATATATATTTTTTACTCTCCCTTATTATTTTGCACAACCCCAAGGTACTGTTCCAAACACCTGAACCTGACTTGACCGTCGGAGTGTATACGGCCGCCGCCACCTCCGTTGATCCCGACCGTGTGCGTCTAACCGTGCGTTGATTGTGCGCAGGAAGGAATACATAGAGTAGCTCTCGGTTGGCCACGTAGAAGGTCCAATTTTCAAAGTCAATAGATTGGCACCGTTTGTGGGAAGCACTTCCCGTTCAAAGTTCTGCATTCTCCACCGGAGAAATCACTGGAAAACTGGCGACTAACCCAGAAAAGGGCACATTCTTGAAAAAGAACAAAGTCGGGTTATAATCCAAGTTCTCACCATCCTTGAAAAAGGAGATATGATGAGTTATAGCCATGAAGACGACAACCCCATCAGAGAGGTCTTTGAAGAGGAGGTGCTCCATAACAATGTTACTCACCAGAGACCCCATCGCCGGCGTCGTTGAGGTGAAAGAACAACCATGCTCACTGAAGGAATGGCTCAAATAGTTGCGGGCATGAGAGACATCGCAGCTCAGAATATGGCGATGCATGAACTTCTCATGCAAGCCCAAGGTCACTAGGGCTCTCAAATGCCCCAAGGATCTTACCCAGTGCAAGAAGCCCCAGTATCTTGTTCCTAAGGCCACACTAGTCAGTACAGAGATGCCCTCTTGAAAGAGAAGTAGACGCCGAGGCCACATCTTATGTGCAAGGGAACCAGCCATCAGAACCACACTTGGGGGACAATTTCCCTCAAGAATATGAGGAACAGAGGTCGGTAAGCGTCTTCGCCCGGATAGGGGAGGATCCTAGCAATAGGGTCCGCCCAGTGAGAAGATCAGTTCGGCCAGATCAGGAACAAAAACAGGCTGCTCCTCCTCTTAGAAATAGGAGGGGCGAGAGGAACCTAGTCGATTGGGGGAGTCGAGGAGAAGCACCTCTACTTCCCAGAACATTCAAGATGATGAAGCGTCAGATGGGCCCTGTCGGTCTTATGAGATTGACGATGATGATGATAACATCTTTTTCTCAAGGGAGATCCGAAGCTTCCCAATGCTAGCAAATTTCATGCCCCCTAAGATCTCCAAGTATGAAAGAAAGGGGGACCCGGAGAAGCACCTCACCAAGTATATGACATAAATGAGTCTCAGGGGAGCCTCGCTTGCTTTGAAATGCAGAGCCTTTCATTTAACATTAGGCGGAGCGCCGAAGTGTGGTACAGCAGGCTTCCTCCCCTAAGCATTAGAAGTTAGGCAGATTTGAAGAAGGCATTCTTGAATCAGTACCTCTCGCGAAGAGAATGAGAGGCCCCACTGCAACGCCTGCAAGACATGAGGCAGGCCCCTGGAGAGACGCTGAAAAGCTATCTTGTCAGGTTTACAGAAGAAATCACATACTGCGAACAGGTCATTGACAGAGAAGCCCTTTCAGCCCTGAAAGGTGGCCTCAACATAAACACTTTGTTCTGGAGAGACGTGCGCAGCAAGAATCCTTTCACCTATGACGAACTCGTGGAAATGATGAGAGTTGAAATCGTGAGTGAAGAAATGATTGATCACCAAAATCGTGCCGCGCAGGGACTCCCTCCGCCTCAGAGGCAGGTAGGTCGAGGACCCGCAGCACACTTTGTTACTCAGCAATGGACTCAAGCAGGACATGCAATAGCTCCCATCTTCGGACAGGGACTGGCTTCCGCCACACTAAATGCAGTACCGGTATTGGAATATGAAAATGCTCCTGGTGAAGTGGGACCATCTGGAAGAAACGATAGCAAGAAAAAGAAGAAGA